TTTTGCTGAGTAGCAAAAGAAGAAAAACGATTAAGCAACTTGGCATTCAGATTCTGTGACCTGTTAAATACTGATGGATGTCAAAGGGTTCACAGCACAGCAATAAAGCAAGATCTTGTAATACTGTATGAAATGTTTATGCTAACTTTTCATATTAAGCTGCCTTATATATGCCTGGGGCTGTATTATATCTTGGCAAACTCATTACCTCAAATCTGCTAACCAGAATTTTTCAGAAAGTGTGTCATTAAGAGTGATAACAAAAACATTGCTTTGTAAACATATTTTTAAAAGATTACGAACTGATCTGGATAGGCTGGAACAGTGGGCTGAGACAAATAAAATGAATTTCAGTAGAGATAAGTGCAAAGTCTTACACTTAGGTACAAAATATCAAAGGCACAGATATAGAATGGGAGGGACTTGGCTTGACAGCAGCACATGTGAAAGGGATCTAGGTGTTCTGGTTGATCATAAGTTAAACATGAGCCTGCAGTGTGATGTGACTGTGAAGAAAGCTAATGCAATCTTAGGATGCATTAACAGAAGCATTGTGTCCAGAACACGGGAGGTGGTAGTTCCGCTCTATTCTGCTATGGTCAGGCCTCACCTGGAGTACTGTGTCTAGTTTTGGGCACCACATTTTAGGAAGGATGTTGACAAGCTCAAGCGTGTCCAGAAGAGGGCAACCAGGATGGTGAGAGGGTTGGAATCCAAGTCTTATGAGGAAAGGCTGAAAAAGTTGGGTATGTTTCGCCTGGGAAAGAGAAGGCTTAGAAGGGACATGATTGCCGTCTTCAAATATTTGAAGGGCTCATGTAGAAGATGGAGCGGATCTATTCTCTCTTGCTGCAGATTACAAGACTAGATCTAATGGGTGGAAATTACAAGGGAGTCAGGAGAAACTTCTTAACTGTAAGAGTGGTTGAGCAGTGGAACAGACTGCCTCGGGAGGTGGTGGATGCTCCTTCACTGGACGTTTTCAAGCAGAGGCTGGACGACCATCTTTCGGGTATGTTGTAGGGCTATTTTTCAGCTGTTCTCCTGCAGAGTGCAGGGGGGTTGGACTAGATGACCTGCAAGGTCCCCTCCAACTCTAACATTCTATGATTCTATGATTCTGTACCCAGTGTTCCTTTCATTACTAGCACAGAATGGTCTTTTGGACTTCATTGTTTGTTTACATATGGATAAAGGAAAATATTTGCTTTAATTCTGCATGATCTCCCCGCTGATATAGTGGACGTTGGTAGATTGTTAAGCACTTGGAAAAGAAAGGGGATGCTTTTAAATGGTTTAGGTCTTATCTGTTGGGCTATGTGTAGAAAGTCATTGTGGAAGATTTAGAATCTGCTGCTTGGGATATATATTGAGAGGCTCTACAAGTTGGTATTATCACCCATGCTGTTCAATATTTCAGTGAGACTTCTCAATGAAATTAGCTTTGTAAATGGATATCATCCCAGCTTTATATTTCCTTAAATAAGCCCCAGAAGCCCTCTTCGGCTGGTGTATGGAGGCAGTGGTCATGTTGCTGAGGCACAGCAAGCAGAAACTGAATCCTGGTATGACGGAGTTGATGCTGGTGGTAAATCTAATGTTTTTGAGGGAATAATACTACCTGTCTGGGTGGCATGAGTTTGACTCTGTGAAGACCTTAGGACTCAGCTTCCTTTTGGAAAAGCAAGTTAATATAGTGGATAAGAGTGCTCTTTTCAAAGACATCTTGCACAAGTAAAAGTCCTTTTTACATTCAGCTGACCTAGCCACACCAAGCCACATTATGGTAGCCTCAAGACTTGGATATTGCGAACAGCGCAGCATCACGGGTGCTCTGTCGGGACGCTCCCGATGAGCCCCATGCTTCTTCATCTTTTTTTGAGTCCCCTGGGTATTTGTACCATCGGGGGTCTCACCAGCCTTCTGGAGAGAGGTCTGGTCTGCAGGAAACTTGACCGGGCGTTCCGCCAACGGTGGAGAGCGGGACAGGACTGGTTTGTTTCGATGCGGAGGTGAATGAATGGAGCAACATGGTCCACCATGATTGCCAGCTGCGATCACCCTTTTTGAACTGTGGATTTGCAATATAACTATACAGCAAAGTCAAGAACATGAGTAAACGCATCTCTCTCTCAAAATTTGGAAAAGATCCCCAGTAGATTGCCCAATGGATTCTCTAAATTGTGGTTTTAAATGCGGCTGTGAAAGGATTTGAGTTAATGGGAAGAAAATGGTGCTGGCAGAAGAAAAAATAGAAAGACTAGTAGGAGAAACGGTGATGTTCGACTTAGAAGATACAAAAATTGTTCAATTATCTGTGGAACAATTCAAAACATTTTATTTGAGGAAGTACGGCAGGCAGTTGAACAAACCTGTAAAAATGCCATTAAAAATGCCTTTGAAAATCTTCAGAAAACAAACATGGAACGGGTTAATGAGAAATATCCATTACAGCTACAGGGAAGGCTCTGAAAATTCTGAGAGGGAAAGGAATTATGACCAAAAAAAGAAGTTACAAGATAGACCCTTTTTTCTTAAAGAGGCAACACACGGCATTAAAAGTATTCCAAAAAATCCTATGAAGGTGGGATTGCTAAAGAAAGCTGCTAGAAAACAACTACACAAGCAAAGGTTTAAGGTGGTGAAAAAGACTCCAGTGAAAAGCTACAGCAACAACAGAAAGACAGAGTTAACAAAACGGGAAAGACAAAAAATGGGAATAGAATACCATGAATATAAGGAGAAAAGACATTTAATCTTGGTTATTATGAGGAAACTGCTTCAGAAAGTATGGCAAAACTGTGGCTTGGTATATTTGGCAGTAATACAACTTATGCTTGGTTTGTCTAACTTTGTAGTTTGGTTTACTTAAGGCATGTGAAATGGGTATTAAATATTGAGTACTGAGCAGCAGAAATGGACAATATACAGAGAATAATAGAATGATTTTTGATGCCTGTAAAATGCTTAAAATGCTTGGTAAAACGTTCAAAATGATGGTATTTCTGTATGTTGAAATATGGATAGTTCATAACTAAGGTTCACAAAGAGATAAGATATTTAAGTTTGGTTATTGTGAGGTAGAACACAAGAAATGAGGGAGTAATTTTTGGTGCCAGTGAAATGTTTAGATACCAGACTGGGTGGCTAGCTGCTAGATGGGGTACTCTCATCTGGTAGTTTGGGCAGCTTCAAGTGCACATGTGTATGCTGGGCCAACTGGCAAGCCAGTGGCTCCAAATGTGCATTCCAGCTGCCCAGCCAACAGCTTAGAATATGTTTGGGAAGCAGGGGATGGGGGTGTACTTTCACCAATCCACCTAGGGTGCCCTGTATTATGATTTTTTTCTGAAGATTTAACATGCATTTTAACTTCCTTGTAAGCCATTTTGTAGGAGAAAAGTGGTATGAAATGTTTTAAGTAAATTATTTTATTCTAAAAGAAATTCACTTCTTTAAATAGTTAAGTTTCGGAGACATTAAAATAATAAGCCAATTTTACTTGGTGGCATCACACAGATGTGTGTGTGTGTGTGTGTGTGTGTGTGTGTGTATATATATATATATATATATTAGTGAGCAAAGCCCATTGTGGATGAAGACAATGGGCCCTAGAAAGGTCAGGTGGGTGGGTGGTAGATAGATAGGTAGATGGATAGATAGAGGGGTTTGGAGAAAGAGAGGAAGGAAAGAAGGAAGGAAGGAAGGAAGGAAGGAAGGAAGGAAGGAAGGAAG